CTAGGAGTCCAGGTGGTCATAGACTGGGCTCAGGTCGAACGAACGACAAATACGGGTCTGGGGGTTAGCGAGCGGTCGGTGGTCGTCTCTTCTGTTTATTCTTAATTGAAGTTATTAGTTGTACACTTGTTATGGTGTTTTGTCACCGATTTAAGATAACTATAATGTAGATCTTCCCAGAATCAGGCTCGCCCCCCAATCTGTGTGTTATTACTAAATGGTACGTCAACCTTTATCAAGTACTACGGTTTCGTCACTCTCATTACTTATTGAATTATTAACTGCCCAAATTAAGAAACCCGTGTTCAAATAAGGGACAACTCAGGGTTGGACAACCCACTGCCCGGGGTGAACCCCATCTGTTCCGGGGGCACTTTCCGAAGTACTTAAAACAGCTCTAAAGGACGGTCGTACACCCGACGCACTCCGGGTGGCTCTCGCCCGATCAACGATAGGGTCTGCATGCAATTACGAACACGAAGGACGGGTCTCCTTATTATTTGGTTGAGACTTTACAATGCTTATTAAAGAGGCATAATCCAATATAAGGTAGGACCACCGTCCCTTCGTGTACGCTTATTGCCGACAGACCTTATACTTGATGGTGCGAGGGAGGCCACTGAGTCGTCGGCTGGACGACCTCTTAGCTGTTTAAGTACTTCGGCGGGTAGGCCCGGGAAACAGATGTCACCCCCGGTATTTGTGTCCACCGCTGGTAGTTGTCCCTGATTTGGACAGCGGTTTTCGATTGGGGCGTTAAGCTAATGCAATGAAGGGGTAGATGGAGGCGAAACCGAGTAGCTTGATGGAGTTGACGTACGATTGGAGTACCAGCACAGAATTAATATTAAGAGGTCTGATTCTGAAGATCGTAACTATACGTTACTTAATGTGACTCACCACCCATTAACAAGTGTACTACTAATACTTCAATTAAGGAATAAAAGAAGGAGGGAGGCACCACGACGTCCTCCAGCCAGTTCGTCGTCGTACCTAGCCCCCCAGTCTATGTACACTGACTCCTAGCGAGGTGGCTGTGTTGCGTGTGCAGGTGTCTGGCAGATGAAGATGGCGCTCACATGTGCGGGCATGGTGACACCTCCATTGTGTGTGTTGTGTGTTGGTGTTGTGGGTTGTGTGTGTGTGTGTGTGTGTGTGTGTGTGTGGTGTGTGGGGTGTGTGTGTGTGTGTTGTGGTGTATTTTTCATTTCCGAGAACGGGGTAATGAACACAGAGAGAAATCATAAAAACACAAGAGGTGACGAAATTCAACACAGTTTTTCGAGAAAATCCAAGAGTATGGACGGACCACGACGTCGTGGAGAAAAGGTGGGAGACAAGACGTTTGGTCTCGGGGTCAGACGAGGAAACTAATGCCGATCGACCGGGCGGAGACAACACTACCAGGGTGAATAATCTACAGGGCGGGGAATCGGAAGCGTATGTTACAGCAACCTCGATATCGGTTATCTTCACCGTCACAGACTGTATGACACGATTGGATACCTATGGTCAAAGATTTACCGGGAAGTCAAATCAGGATCAGGAGAATAGATACTCAGAGGGAGAGCGAGGAACAAAAGACGTCGGAACCTCGAATAGTTTAGGAAAGGGGAGGGACGTCACATAACCAATACTGGATTTCTTCAACTTTACAAGGACTGGTTTTGTAAGTATTTTTTTAGAGAAGGCAGTCTATTATCTGTCCGTGTCCGACTGCGTGACACGTCTGTCTTTGTCTGTTGTCCTCAGGTGGAATAGTCCCCCTAGTGAGCAGAACGAATGCTTGTCTTAATTCGAAACCTGTAAACAGTTTACGACTTTAAATAACACCAATCCTAACCCGGTATACCTTCACTCGTCTCTCGAAGTCTCATACAATCCCGGTCCTTTAAGCATAGTGGAACAAACGACGTCACTTTACAGAAGATTTAGAAGTCTGCAGATTTTGTCAAAGCTCGAGAAGTCACAGGAGGCCCCAACGACACGTCCACAGACCTCTACTTCTACCACGGAGTGTACACCGCGCTCACTGTGGAGGTAACACACACACACACACACACACACACACACACACACACACACACACACACACACACACACATACATACATATATATATATAAAATAAGGCTTTGCATTTTGTGTCTCTTTTCAGTATTTTGTGTCTCCATGCTTTAATGTTCAAAAAGCTCTTTATTTTTCTCATACTGCCTGTGCTGCAGCACCTCTTTTCACCCTCTGTCTGAAACCAGAGCCCAGTCTGCTCTGATTGGTTAGCTGGCCGGCTCTGTTGTGATTGGTCAACTACTAGATGTCCCGCCCCTTAGCCTTTGCATACAATGTGTTGGAGCTATAGCCAATAGAAGTGCAAGTGTTACATATTGATGTAACTATTGATACAGGTTTTTCTAAATGGCCCTTCAGTTTAGTCCTAGTCCTCTTATCTACTGCGTCTCCTCTCGCTCCCTTGTCTCCTGCAGCCTTGGAGCTTTATCAATCTTTCCCCTCTGCAGTGTATTGGTATGACCTAAGAAGTTGATGTGTCTTGCCCAAAACGTTCATAAAACAATCTCTTCTTCAGATAATAACAGGACAGAGCTGACGCACTGTGTCAGACAGAAAAGACAACCAGGAGTCCATCTTATCAGGTGGATGATCACTCTCTGCTACAAACAGAATTAGCTTCGACATGTTGTCAAATGCTGATTATTGTGTTAGGATTGGGCATATGAGTGAGCAAGAGAGCTTCAGAGTTGTTAGGCCAGGAAATGTATCACCTTGTTGCTGCAGTGAAATGTCTTCTAAATCTTCAACGTCTAAAATCAGTTCGAGCTCTTCAGTGTCCTCCTTGTCTTCTGAGTCCTTGCTCCAAAGGTTTCTTAACATCTATGGTCCGGAAGTAAACAAAGGAGTCTAATGAAAGCAGAGAAACTCCCTCTGAAGGGGATTTTAGCCTTTGCAGACCATTTACATGCACTAAAACCTATAGAACATACTAAATCTGGGGTGTCAAACATTCAGTAAAAACCGTCCCACCATAGGGTCCAATCCGGCCCGTGGGACGACTTTGCAAAGTGTAAAAACGACAGAGAAGACATTCAGTGCATTTTCAAAACGTGTATGAATACATGTTGTACATTTACAAGGCAAGAGGATAACTTAACCTTCTTCCTTAATAGTTCCCACTTTAGTCTGTATGGTGGTGTGTCAGGATTACTACACAGATGTGGAAATGAATGTTAAATATTTTCTAGCTCTCGCTTAATCTTCACCGTGTGTTTCTTAGACGTGTGTTTCTTTACCGTGTGTTTCTTTACCGTGTGTTTCTTTACCGTGTGTCTCTTCACCGTGTGTTTCTTTACCGTGTGTTTCTTTACCGTGTGTTTCTTTACCGTGTGTTTCTTTACCGTGTGTTTCTTAGACGTGTGTCTCTTCACCGTGTGTTTCTTTACCGTGTGTCTCTTCACCGTGTGCCCTGTCTGCAGGCAGTGCTGCTGGAGATCAGGCAGTGGATGGACGCTCACCCCCGGGAGGTGCTCATCCTCTCCTTCAGTCACTTCCTGGGCCTGAGCCCGGAGCTGCACATGCTGCTGATCAGCACCATCCGCAGCGTGTTCGCCTCCAAACTCTGCCCCAAAACGGTGAGACTCCTCCTGCAGAGGATAATCATGAAATCTGCATGCTTCTTCTGTCAATGACCTACAAAGTCAATGCACGGTTGCAAATAGACCCATAAAGAAAGGACGCAGAATTCATTTGCATGTTTCTCTGAAAGGATACAACACTTGTGGTGCTGTAAATGCATAAAACAAGTGCTCGCTCTTTTGGTTACTATTTAATAAATATATTTGAATACCTTTTGGTCTATAGAGGACATTTTGTATACCCATTAAGCTGATTTGAGGTTATATGTGAAATGATTGTCACTGTTAACAATAATAAGTTATAGATTTTTTGCGATTGTTGTCGGTTGAAGATTTTTTTATATCGTGTTCCTGGAAAAAATCTAAATATTAAAAAAAAGATGTGCACAGTGCATACCAAAAATATTTAAAAAAACAGAAAATATGTACAATATAGTTGAGAAACACTTACACATAATGAAACAATAAATAAAAATAATAATAATTACAATATAATCAAATAAAAAAGACAACAAGGGAGAAGAAAGGATAATCTGGTCTATTAATTTGAATAACAGCAATCTTATTATCTTATATTCTTTAATAATATTTCAGGAGGTGTTGACCCTGCGTAACCTGTGGGCCCGGGGCGGTGTCATCGTGTCCTATGAACACGTGCTCTCCTGCAGCAGCGCCGACCTCTGGCCTCACATCCCGTACTGGTGGGCCAACAAGTGCCGAGCCGAGGAGCTCATCCAGGAGTTCGAGAGCCGCAAGCAGAGCGGCAGGCCAGGTAAATAAAAACACGCTGGAAAGATGTATTACTCTGGGGTAACGGCATCTATACTCAAGTTAAGGTTCATTAAACTGTGGATTTCCTACTGTTAACAAACTATGCCAGCGTAATTAAGAGTGGAAATGAATCCCACTAATTTCTTTATGAAGTTTTATAAAAATTAATCTTTTTAAAATACAATAAATAGAAAACTAAAATTATAAGTAATTTTGGAGAAACCAGCTCGAGTGCGCTAGAATTTGAAAACACACAGCCGGAAAAAATCTGCCACTTCCTTACAGAGCCCCTCCTCCAACACACACGAACGCACACATGACCAATGAGGGCACGAGATAAGTTTGTGCACAGATGGAAAGCTGACAGGCAGGTAGGCCATCCAGTTATTTTAGCCGGGGCAGCTCAGATGATTGGTCGTGCTTTGTACAGTTCTACGGCTTCCACTGATGACATTTTCTTATGGTTTTTTGTCAAAGCACTTCAGATATTCATTGCTATCGGGATGTTAAGAGTATTCCATGGAATATAACAAAAAGTGTATCTCGAGCCGGTTTCTCAAACTTACCTACCCTACCTTTTAATATAATAAAATATGTTATCATTATTTCTATGGTTATTATTACTGTATTTCTTTTATATTAATAATACAAAAATCCTTGAGGTATTTATATTTTCATTTAAAAAACAACAACAAGTAATTTGCACATTTTATAATGTGTGGAGGGTGGGTTTTTTATTGTATTTATTTAATTGTTGTTTGTTTTGTAAGGGAACTGTATGTGTGTACTTTTCATGTGGTGTTTTGTATGTGCCAACTTTGCCCACAAATGTGTCATTTTGATTTCCATACTGTATGTTTCAGGGGGTTTCTTCGTCACAGGCATGAACCTGACGGAGGACCTGAAGTACATCTGCACCCACCCCACAGAGTCCCTGAAGGACCTGGTGATGTCCACCTACCCCCCCCTGCTCAGCTGGGTGCAGCAGCAGAGCCCCGGCTGTGGGGAGGGCTCGCTCAACATCATCGCCGGAGACTTCGTCACCGAGAGCGGCTTCGTGCCCACCGTCGTCTCTCTGAACGAGAAACTGCTGAAACACTCCTCATGACTGCTCTCCAATAATTAAACACACACACACACACACACACACACACACACACACACACACACACACACACACACACACACACACATGGGAAGAACCACGGCATGTTTAGTGGCAGAGAACGGACTTGAATTATTATTTTCAATATAAAATGCACTGATAAGGAGGATGTATATTTTAGACTTTTTAATATTTCCACTTTTGTTTACATTCACTATTTATGCAAATGTACTCCTGTATCAGATTTCACGAGTCGCCAGAGTTTTATGTTACCAGAGCAATAATAGTAATAACAACAACAACGCAACTAATCTCACCTTTTACTTTTTAAGTAAGCACAAGCGGTATTCAAGCAGCACATGTGATTGTAACGTAGGTCACACACTTTTATAAATCTGACGTGTCGGCAGCAGCTAGGTATACTGTATTTATCCTCAGAGAACGTAGAGTAGACTTTACACTCATGCAAAATGCATGGAAAACTTATTTGCATGAATCCAACCTCTGACTGTTTTACTCACTCAACAGGTGAGGCCTTGTTTTAAATAATGCTGCGCCGCTGTGCCTGTGGAGATGAGCTTTTCAAATAAACATGAGCGTTTTTAATCGAGTCCTTTTGTTTTATTTCATGACAATCAGCCGTCAAAGATTCCCCTTGGGGATTAATAAAGCTTCTTTAATAATGTCCACATAAGTACATTAGTCGCATGTTAGGACGTAACAACAGCAGTTAGTAGAGCATGAATTAAATAAGTGAACGCTTCCTGCTGGTGATTTAAGACAGTCAGTTTCATTGGCAAAGTTTCTCTGTTCCCGTACTTGCTTCTGCTATTCGTATCATATCAGTGTACAATATATATAATGACAATTACCAGCATATATAATCTGTATACCAAGCTTCAGCGGACATGCATATACAACAGGTTCACAGGGCTTTGTGTAGCTGAGTTTCAGTCAGCTGGTTTAGGTACACATGAGTCTCTGTGGTCTTTCAGGTCTAACCACATCCTGAAAAGCATCAAAGTGCTTTAATCTATTCCCTATTTTATGTTATTCTTTTCTACTCTACTTTTAATACCTATTTTATTGCATTATATTCCCTTATTCTCTTTTTTATTCTTTATTTTATAACTTCTACTCACTTTTTTACCCTCTGTTTGGTTATGTACTAGTACTTTTTTTATTCTATATTGAATTCCTCTCTATTTTATATGATATTTTCTATATTCTCAGTTATAATTTTTTTCTTCTCGAATTTCTTCTTTTCTAATTTCAATGTTATCTATCTGAACATGCTGCATGATGTTAGCCCCGCCCCTTCCTGACGTCATAGCCACGAGTTTCCGGAAGTTTAAACAGTGTTCAAAGACACGTATTAATATTCCACAGAAAGAGAACAAAAACTAAGTCACGTGCTTTACCTGCAGAGGATTCTCACAACACCTGAAATACCAACAGACTGCAGGAATGAGGAACCTCCTACCCCGCAGTGTGTGTCTCTCTGTGTGTGTGCGTGTGTCGTGTGTGTGTGAGTATGTGTGAGCAAGGTGGATGGGGTTAAAGGGACCAGATAAAGGAAGTAATACATTGTTTATTCCCGGTTTTTGAGTTTCTCCTGCAGTCATGAGTAAGATGAGCTGCAGCCCGGACTGGATGTCCTCTCTCCCGGAGGAGCTGTGGGACACGCCGCTCACGGAGCTCGCCATACCGGGTAAATATTTCACATTATGCAGGGGTTAGTAATAATACAAGTATATCACTGTTTTTATTGTGTTGTGTCTTATATATATTACTGTTGCATTGTTGAAGGGGTTTCGTTGCCATAACTACACTGTAGCTACTGTGTTAATGACAATACAACCTTTGAGTTTGAATCTTGAAAGTATTTAGATATTTTATTCAAGTTAAAGCAGCGGTGGATAGTAACTAAGTGGGCTACATTTACTCAAGTACTGTGGCCAGTGGTGGATAGTAACTAAGTACATTATTCAAGTACTGTTGCCAGTGGTGGATAGTAACTAAGTAGGCCTACATTTACTTAAATACTGTAGCCAGTGGTGGACATTAACTAAGTACATTTACTCAAGTACTGTAACTAAGTACATGTACTCAAGTACTGTAGCCAGTGGTGGATAGTTACGAAGTACATTTACTCAAGTACTGTAACTAAGTACATTTAATCAAGTACTGTAGCCAGTGGTGGATAGTAATTTAGTACATTTACTCAAGTACGTTACTTAGGTACCATTTTGGGGGACTTGTACTGGTTTGGGGAGTAATGGATTACTTGTAACTGGATTTTGTAATCAGGATTTAAAAAAATAGACCTATTCCCTTGCAGTTACATAAAATAAAACGTTTAATCAGATTACTTTTAAATGTTTTGAAATGGGGATTACAACCAGGATTACAATGTAACGGTACATTTTAAAGTACAAATGTAAATATTATTGGGAGACATAGAGCTTGATTATTCTTTTTGGTTTAAATGTAGGCAACTTTTTCCTATTCTGTAGGCGTATCCTATCAGAGGACACATTTCACACAAGGGACTTTTAAATCTTAAACGATGATTCAAATGTGTTTCTGCAGGGAGCCATGATGCGATGAGTTACTGCCTCGACATCAACTCTCCGCTGGTCCCGTCCGAGTCCGACTGCTTCAGGATCCTCGACGGACTGTTCTACTGTTTCACCAGACCCACCATCTTCAAATGGGCCACAACACAGGTACTGTATAACGTGGGTTGATGCTCGGAAGTCAAAATAAATACAAAAACTATAATAATAATAATAAAAATAGATAAATGAATAATAATCATACAGATGAATACAAATAATTATACAAATAATAATAAAACATATAATTATAATACAAAATAATAGAACAAATTATAATAATATAATTAATTAATAATAAAACTATAAAATAATAAAATAACTAAAATAATAACAAAAATAATAATAATACAGTTATAAAATAATAAAATAACTAAATAATAACAAAAATAATACAAATTAAAAACGTCACTTCTGTACGTTTAAGCTAATTTACTTACCTTATCCTTTCTTTTTTTAGTTTGTTTCTTCAAAGTATTCACATATTTTAAGTCGTTTTGGATAAAACCTAAATGAACTGAATGAAGTAAAATATAATAAAAAATGTATTTCCATGTTTTATGATTTGTTCCCTCTTTGCAGGACAAAAGCATCGAGGAGCAGCTCTCCATGGGGATCCGATACTTCGATCTCCGCGTTGCACACAAACTAAAAGACCCCTCCAGCGACCTTTACTTCACGCACATCATTTACACTCATCTAACCGTCCTGGTGAGTTGAATTATCTTATTGGTTAAACTCTCAGTTTGGGTTTTAATTCCAGATCCACATTAAAAGTTTCTCTTTTCAGGAAACGCTGTCCTCTGTTGCCCTGTGGCTGAACTCTCACCCGAAGGAGGTCGTTATTCTCGCCTGCAGCCACTTTGAGGGAATCAGCGACGAACTGCACCAGTCTTTTATCTTCTCCTTGAAGAAGATGTTCGGGTCGAAGCTCTGCCCCCACGAGGTGAGCTTCCCTTTCTACGGTGCCTCTAAAATGTGCAGAGAAAGCACCTGGAAACACATTTTACAGCACTTGTATATAATATTATATAACTCTGAAAGTAATTGAAAAGCAAACCAACTAAACATGGTCAGTGTTGGACTGTCTTAATATTATACAGTGTATCAGAGATTAGATCAATAACCAGCTCAGAGCATATCATTCATTTCAGCATGGATGGATAATTGATCAGGCTAATGGATCATTTCAGGGTCTAACGATTAAAAGTAGAAGCAAAACCAACGCACACACATAAAAAACGACCACTAAGAGACGCAGAGCTACATCAGAGACACAGAAAGACCTTGAGTGATGAGAAAACACCACACAGTGTATGTGCTGTAGAGGGGAAATGGGAGAACGACAGCATTTTTTAATACATATATGGAGTGTTACGAAGAGATATCCAGAATCTCCTTTGTAAAAACCTTTGAGTCCAATATGTGTCACCTTGTGTGAATCTATACTGTCCTGCTTTTCACTGAATCTCCCCACAGTGATATATAAAGGTCAATCTTATCTTCTCTTATCTTCTGTCAACACATTAAAACCAGAATGCTGAGCTCACATTTCAGTTCTGGGAAGGTCTGCAAATGAGCACATATTAAGAGAATGCCTCGTTTGCATATTCAAACATAGCATTTCAGAAAACTCATTATACAAAATAGAATTCTTCTTAAAGTCAGTAATGAACCGGGGAAGTTTCATGATGATGTCTGTTATTTTATTTTGTATTCACCTGTAGTGTCTCCTCCTCAGGTTTGTGTGGCCCCCACACTGCGCAGCCTCTGGGCCGCGGGGCAGCAGGTCATCCTCTCCTACGACTCCCAGCATCCATTGCGGCATCCGGAGCTTTGGCCGGACATCCCGTACTGGTGGGCCAACCAGCACACAGCGAAGGAGGTCATCAGTTACCTTGACTGGAACAAAGAGCAGGGCCGCCCAGGTGAGGCTGGGAGAGAAACTCCCTCTGGAGAGGACAGGGATTTGAGCCTTTGAAGACCATTTACATGCACTAAAACCTATATTACACACTACAGAATCAGAACAGGTTTATTACCAGGTAGGTTGACACGTACGAGGAATTTGACTTGATGTCGTGGTGCATACATAAAAGTAAAACAAAAATAAAAAACACAGAGAACTATTTAAAGAAAACTTTAATAACATAAACAATAATAAAAATATAGTAAAATAAAGTAAAAATATATATATAATACAAATAATAATTAAAGAAATTATTTAAAAAAAAAAATTTAATCCAGTAATGTTCAGGATCGAGGAATATATGTTCTCAATGAATACATCTTATCCCAGTGTCTGTAGCATGACTGCAATTCACAGCTTAAACTGCAGTCGGCATCATTAAGCAAGTCTTTGCTGTAACATGAGTTATAAAAGGACTGTTTGACTTGCTGCAGAAAAGTGTAGGTGGAAACTCTTTGAGAAGCCCGAAAGCACTGAACCACCTCCCACAATTCAGTGTGATTACGAGCCCACTCCTCCAGTCCAGATACTTGTGAATATTAAAGCTTTAAATCGAGGTGCAAAAAGAATCTCTGACACGACCAGAACTTAAATAGTATTTCTTTGTAATGTTTCCTCCTCTGGGGGAATGAGAGAGATGAGTGCACTTAATCTGTCGGATTAGAGTTGGTGTCCAAATCATTGTTTCTAAAAATGAACTAAAAAAGAAAAAGAATGTTGGTTTGAATATAAGAGCTGGTTGAGACAGTCCAATAACTGAAAGCTCAGTCTGAAAATAAATACCATCTGCCGTCCCTTTGAGTGTGTTGAGCAAGACGCTGGACTCTGTGCTGCTTCAGGCGAGCTGCAAATAGCTGAAATCCTCCATCTCTGTCTCAGAGGTGCAGCTACACCCTCTGCAGTATCACCGTTACAGTTTGAATGAAAGCTGATGGAGTCTACTGAGAAACAAGGCTTCTGGTTTCAGACCTTTGATAATGTTATTTCCAATGATTCAGACATTGTGGGGTACAGAAGCACAGAGATGCCATCTGTCTGGTCGGAAATCTAATTTTTAAACTACATCCCCCAGCCGTCCCCGCTCCCCTCGAGCCTGGATGTCATCAGCCCCCCCGGTCTGCTCCTCAGCTCCCAGCCCTCACTACGTAGACCTCACACTGTAACTATACACCGACTCTGTCCCCGGGGTCCACGCTAAGGGTCTTCTCCATGACATAGACGGCAACCATTGCAGCAATTTAATTAATCCACATGGGGGGGGGGGGTGATTGCAAGCTGTTGTTTTCCTGTGGTTGAACAAAAGGGGAGGTGAAGGTGAGGTGGATAGCTGAAGGGGGCAGGAAACGAGGGATAGGCTGCTTCAAAGTGGAGGGTTATAATGGGCCAAGCTTCTACTGTGTATACAGAATGTACAAGGAGCTGCCTGGCTGCTGCCTTAAACACTTGTAGAGAAACCAGCAGAAAGTGGCCCTCCTTGTTAAGGCTGGTAGCATGTAGCGATACATATCAGTGTAAACATCTCAGTCTCTTTCTGATGAATGCACATAATGGCTGTTTACATGCAGGCGCAGGGAGCAACAAGGTGACAGCATGGAAAAGGATTCAGCCACAGGGAATGCTTCCACTTTCCCTTGTTAGGTCCCTCTGTTCAGTCTCAGTGCTGGAGGTGCATGAAGTCAGCGTTCTGCTCATGATCATATTTATTTTGTTGCTAAGGCTCCTCTGTTAGACGCCCTATGCAGGATTAATTGGAAATGTAGATAAATAGATATCTCTGCTGTCTAACATTAGAACAAGGGCAGTTCAACACAGAAAGGAAGGTATTCCTTTATTTAATATATTATATAAATGCAGTTAGCCCAATTTTTAGAGTTTATTATACTGTACTGGATTAATATTATTGATGTAGTGATGAGTGAGCAGATGCCTGTAACTTTAGTTGAGTCAAAATGTAAGTATTTCCTGCTGAAATGTGAAGTACCGATTATGGGCAACGCACCGATTAAAAATGTGTGCTCGCTCTGTGATATTTGCATGTCAAATTAAACCAAACTGAACGAAAATGATCTCGCTGCAGTAGTTTTGCATAAACTGATGAACAACTGTGAGGACTCAAGTGAGTATATCTCAAATAATATCTTGCGTGTCTTCTTTGCCCAGTTTATATTGGGTGTTACCTATTTATATTTTTAAGGCTGTATTGGACTTCACTTTTTCCCCTTTTACATTCAACAAGAAACTTTGTTTTGTTTTATTCCTCACAAAGTTGCCCTGAATGGTGCAGCATCATGATCCTAAAGGAGGTATCCTCCTGTCACCTGCCCCACCCAGCCTGCTCCTCCTCTCCTGAGGGAGGCAGTCCCATGAGGGCAGAGCGCTGAGGAAGTGAAGTCACCATTTTAGGGCATGATCTAAACGGGAGTTACAAGAATAGGCTTCATTCTAATCGTCCTACGCAGAGCGACAGAGAAAGAGAGAAGCCCATTGTGTGCACTACCACACACTGAAGGTGTTTGTCCACTCTTTGTGTTTGAATGTTTTAGCTCAATCAAAAGTAACCTGAGTGCAAAGTGCTGTTCATGAATCAGTTTGAGGCTCAGGTCCATTTGTCGCTGCCTGAGCTCTGATTGATCATTTCGTATTCCCCCAGTGGGAGGAAAACCGAATCATTATTTGTAAAACATGAGAAATTCTCTCCATAACCTATAAAACGGAGCACTACTGCTAATGGAGCATGTCAATAACGGTTTGACATGTGCTCACTTCCTCTCAGCACCGTAATATGTTAGTGAGTACACACTTTGCAAAGCAGTGTGGCACATCCGATGATCTGGGACTAAACCACTCAGAACAGTGAGTTGGGTCGTGGGGAGGAAGTGCTGAAACATCACCATGCATTAAAGGTAGGATGCGCCTGTTAAGCTCTCATTACCGCTCAACAACACCTGCGGCCCCTGAAAGGCTCTCCAGTTAAAATGGTGGAGGAGAATCCCAGAGGGGCATTTGTGAAACGATTTTTACAGCGCACCATAAAACCTTATGTCATCAAGCGTGCAACCTGGCTCTGCCCTTTGTTCTCTGAAGCTTGTTCTTGTTCACCTGAATAGTGTTTATTTTATGCCTGAAAATGTGTCTTAATATCTAAGAAATTCTATCTTTTACATTCTTACATTTGATACTTTTTATATTGAGAAGTCAAACTATGTTCAATAGCTTGAAAAGGAAATGTATCAGCAACATAGCGTTTACATTTTTCAAAATAAATCTCTAAATTCAAGCTACATTGTGGATTTTATTAACCACAATGTTGCTCGAATTTGAAGATTTATTTTGAAAAATAGACTTCCAATTCCTCATAACATTACTTAGCTTCAGTAGCTGCAGGCCAAACTTGCATTGTTGCATTGTTGACATAAGAACTTGAACTATTAAATTACTTCACTTAAAATCAAGGAAAAATAAAAACAGTTTAATACACTAAAATAAATAAACAACTTAAACATGTTATTCTGTTATCTTGCCCCATGTTGCAGTAGATGTAGGCTGTGTTTGGAGGACGTACCTATGAAGAAGGTGTCAGGGGCTCCGTCCCCCGTCAGCAGCTCCACTGTGTTGGGGTCAAACCTGAGCCAGAGTCCCACCGCCAGCACCAGCAGGCCCGACAGCTGAGGAGCCACAGTCAGGTTACAATTACTCACTGTGGCAGGATATTAAAGAACACTGTTTGAAATTTGGTCTCTGGTTATTCTGAAGATTTAAATGATGTCTCTGGTTTGATGTTTCTGAGAAATCTCTTCACAGTTAAATATTGAGGCCCCTCTAGTTTTTATCTTTGGCTCTTCTGTTGATTAATATTCTGAATGTGCTGCTCTCATCTTTGTCTCCTCAGTGAAGTGGTTACTGGTGCCCACTGTCCCTTTTCTTCTCCTGTTTATCCCGAACAAACTGCTGCCAAAGATGTTAATGCATCAACTCTTTAGAGACTACAAGTGTAAGACCTGTTTAGACTCTCAAACAGATCATAGGCTGTAAAACCAGGAAAAACTTTTCCTCTGCTTAATGGCATGTAGTACAAATTAAGATAGGACATCAGGTGCAATGTTTTTCTCGACACTGAGACGTCATCACTGCTCCCTGGGTGAGTTTGACCAGAAATAAACCATCGATTGAAGCAGGTCTCACCCTCAGAAAGTGAATCCTTCTGACCTTAGACACAAAGAACATTCAGGTGTAAACTGCCCATGTTTAACATCGATACATATGAAGGGTTTTAATACTAAATATACTTTTGTGAATACATTTCTTGAATCATATGAATAACATGAGAGCAATATAGCAGCAGGTGGGGTGTATTAGTGGTTATTTCCTATTATAAGTTTTTATTTAGAGCAAAACAGTTGAGTTTTACAATATTTTACACAATAACTCCTGAACACATACTTTTTAATAAATAACAACCCTTAATGTTTCTTGATCTTCATTTTACAGATCAAATATCTGATAATACATGTAAATGTGATCATCTCAACCATTTTACTTTTAACCCTGATTCCTAAAAATAACATTCTAGGAGGAAAACACATGAACTAGGCAAGAGTAAAAATGATCGGAGAAGGAATACAGCAGATGGACAATCATAATAATCAGATCTTAACATCATAGCATCAATGGTCCACCTCCCATGGTGCATTGCAGCCGCCGGCTGTGCCAGCCTCACAGGGCCTGGTGATGTAACTCACACTAGCATTGGCTGCTTGTTTGGCTTTGCACCCCAAAATGACAGCGTAGTACTGTACGCCTCTTTTGGCCCAGACCACAACGGCCCTGCTCTCAGTCCCCAAACTGCGAGACAAAGAGGCCGCTGTGTGTCCGTGACACAAGAGATCGTTTACAGAGATTTGTCAATGCAACCGTCAAGATCCTATACACTGTATCATTTAGAAGTCAAACTCAAGCATCTATCTACAAGCACTGAGTCTGTCACGCATATTAACTAAGTCATTTTCTAGAACAAATTCCAAACATTGCCTAGTTCCAGCGCGTCACAGTGCTGCTTTTATTTGCTTTATGTGATAGTACATTTAATCTTTGAGTTTTGGACACTTTGTTCATGCAAAACTAACAATTTAAGCAAATCACCTTTGGCATGCAAACTGTGATGTCATTTGCTTCAGACATTTTCTTGACCAGAAGAATAACGAAACAATTGTTAGTTGCTGCCGATTCATTTATCGGTTATCTCTATTCTAATCGACATATTTCAACCCATTGCAAACTAATCTCGTGCTGAATTTACACAAAGGAGTCTTTGAACATGATACATGTAGGCATATCATGCAATGTGAGGTGGGATCATATACAAATAATTTGGCATTGATGTTGAGACTGCAAATAACAAATATTTTCTCGATGAATCGTTTGGTCTAGAAAGCATGTCCATCCCATTTTCTTGAAATCCAAGGAGATTTGTACAAATGTAATAGTTTTTTTTATCAGTCCACAGCTAAAATGATTCAGTTAAATGTAATATAAAACAGAGAAAAGGAATAAATCTCAATATTTGACCGGCTAAAAACTGCATTTTCTGTCATACTAATTTCATTCACTTCAATGTGTCCACTAATGGTTGCAGCTCCACTCTATTGGTTTGCAACCTGGGGGTCACGACCCCAAACGGGATGGACAATTCAGTGGCTGTCTACTTATTAAGAAATACAACAGACAACAAAGTAATAATCTTTTCTTTCAGTGTTTCACTGTTTAGTGGAACAGGTTTTATAGCTACACAACGAATAGTAGCTTTAATTGTGTGAGGGTTTCAAGCTAAAGTTTACCAAGCCTATATTCCCATCAGCTACACAGTTCAAAAGGAGAACCGACACAATGTCAGAGGATAATTCAGTGCAGAAAAAAATCCAAAGTGACTCCACAGCAGCCGGAGCCACAGGTAACCTTATCTGATCATAATGTTTCATAACAGACATAAACCTCCATGATGTTCCAAACACAGGTTAACCCTGTCTGTTAGAAACTCCCAGCACCAAGCCACTGTGCTGTGTGTGTGTGTGTGTGTGTGTGTGTGTGTGTGTGTGTGTGTGTGTGTGTGTGTGTGTGTGTATGTGTGTGTGTGTTACAGTACAACATAAAGCATGGGTATTAAAAGGGTTTGTACAGATTTAACCATTAATTATACATTGTAATAGATAGAGAGCACTTTAAGAGGTGTCATGGTTTATGATGGATTTAGATAAGAAGATGATGGATGGCAATAAAGCAATGATTTGAGTATTTAGGGAGCCATTCAGAGAGGAGTTTGCACAGAGCAGGTGGATGAACTCCCCCAGAGTAAAACGAAACCAAGTTAATTAAAAAAACATATCTAACAAAAGCAATAGACAGACATATCCTGCAGTGTTGAACATGTAAACACGACTCTGAGCCACAGCACTAACCGGTTTTCCACATGCAAACAAAGCTTAATAATTGTTTGTAATAAATCAAATAAATCGAAGAGAAATAGAATAAAAATGGCCACAATGTGCAAAACATTCGGGTGATTTTAAAATAGCGATAACGTTGTTTTCACGCGAAGTGAGTCGGACTTACCCAGAAGATGAAGTTGAAGATGAACAGCAGATATTTCACGCATTTCATCCCTCCCTGTACTTTGCTCATGATGTCTCCTGATTTGTCGATATTCCCGATTTCTGATGGCTGTTATTGTGCAGAGCCTCTTCCAGCTGGACATGAACCATGCAATGATGAGGAGTTGCACAGCGACACCATCCTAACAGCAGAACATGCGCACAAAGCTGCACACCACGCTCACGCCGCCCCTCCCTGCGCATGTGTGTGTGTGGTAGCCAAGGTGGGGTTCAGGGACGGGATAGGACCCCCGGGGGAGTCTCCGGGAGGTCCCCCAACACATGAGGAACAGCCTCGTTTTATTGTGTGATATCACTGCTTCACGTTTGGCAACATTAGAAATAAAGGGCATTGTCTTTTCAAATGTGAGTTACAGATAAACAACTTTAACAAATAAAAAATGCAACATTCTCTTTCACTATTTTATTTGTTTTATGTCCTATATATATATTCACGCGTTGCACTGTTGGAGGAGCCTGTGACTTACGTTTTTCATTGCCACATCTACACTGTAGCTAATGTGCACATGAAAATAAAGCCTTGAATCTTGCCCTTCACATCACATATTTGTGTGTGTGTATACACGAGGAAACATCACATTATATAACAATCTATGTGGGCAGGAGATAGAAAACTGGTAAAGAAAACTGCCATCTGTTTGCAGATTTTATTTCTTTCTGCACTTTTTAGTCACAGAAAAATACATGTGAGCGTCATGGGTTTCTCAGAACGGCAA